AGGGGGACAGACCCCACTTGATGCTCATGCCCGGCCCTCACCCCATACGGCAGGGGGACAGACCCCACTTGATGCTCATGCCCGGCCCTCACCCCTGACAGCACTGAGGGTCCACTTACCACCGCCGCCTCCAAGCAGGGAACTGTTGGCTGCAAGAGAGAGAGACAGAGGCCGGTCAGTCAGGAGGGACTACTGGGGGACCAGGACAGGGGTCACGGGGCGGGGATCAACCTGAGTGACAGGTCCAGGTCTGCTGCTGGGCCTGGGGCTGAGCTGAGGCCAGGACGGGGTGGCCCTGGGCCCTGCCCGAGGGCTTGCAGGCACCTTGGACACAGACTAGAAGCCACTAGGAGGCAAAGTGGTGCCCTGCACCCTGCCGAGTGTACCGGGGAGCAAGCAGGGGCGTGAGAATGGGAACCAGGGTTGGGGATGCCTGATGGATGAGGGCCACACAGGGCGGGGTGTAAGGGTCCTCCTACCCCAGGCGGCACGGTGCAGGGATGAGCACATGGAAGTACAGTCCGACCAAGCTGCATTCATCGCATGTGTTCTGGTTCCCTAGTGCCTCTCTGACAAGAAATATATCACAAATGGAGTGGCCTTAACAAATAGAAGTTTATTCTTACAATTTGGAGGCTTTAAATCCAAGTTCAAAGTGCCAGGGTCTAGGGGCTGGGTGAAAGCCCCTCAACCTTGGGGTCCAGCTCTGCCTCCTGCTCCCGGTCCACTGGAGCTAGAGGTGTTTCTTTACTCAGACAGCTGCTGGCTGCTGAGGCTGAGAAGCCCCAAGGTTGACAAGTATAAAGGCACATTCCCGATGTTACCAAACCACACGGCAGGCCATTAACTTAAGTCCATTATAAGTCCCAAGGTCGGCAGAGCATAGCAGGCTGCTGGGCAATGACAATGGCTACATGCAGGGTCCAAGCGCGCCATAGGCTAGAGACCATTCCCAAAGCTTCCCTTATATACAGGAAGCAGACACATCCCAAAGGCAGCTACTCACCTGCTCCCAGTAGATTCCACCATCGGGTTGATGACCAGTCTCATTGTGGGGAATACTACATCCAGCTGCCCAGCCACTCAACCAGGCCCAGCCAAGTTGACACACAAACATAACCTCACAGCATGGATGACTCAGGCCACTCGCTCGGTGCCTCAGTTTCCCCATGTGTGCCATGGGAGAACACTGCTGCGTCAGTGTTCAAGTGAAGTTCAAGGGAGAGGAGTGGCCCAGACTGCAACCCCCTACCCAGACGGGAGCCCTTCCAGGGAGAGCAGAGCCGGAGGTCACGTCACCGTCCCTTTCCTGGACAGCCCTGTCCACCCTGCTCCGCCCCCTTCCGTGTCCCCATGGGCACCAGTGTTGGGACAGAGTGAAGCTTGGCAGTGCTCACCCTGTCTGCTGGAGTGTCAGGGTGGTGTACCCCTCTGCTCCCCTCCCCCCTTCCTTCCGGGCCCCTTCTCCAGCCTGGGTCCCAGGTCTGGCCACAAAGGCCGCCCCTGTGCTAACTGTTGGTGCTAATCACAGGGCAGCGATGGGTGAGACAGGGCAGGTGCAGTCCCCAGGTCCAGGTGCGGCCTGGGTGGGGACAATGCTATGCCCCAGGCCCGTGTCCCAGGAGTCCTGGTTCCTGGGCTGGGCCTTCCGTTTCGTCACCCGTCCCATCTTCCCAGGTCCTGTTGTTCGAACAGGAGCAGAGCAGGCCTGGTGGAGCTACTTCTGGGCCACGAGGCTGCAGGCCCGGGCATTGTGCGGACGCGGACGCCGCTTGCTAAGTGGTGCTGGGGCGGCGCTGGGAGGAAGGTCTCCTAGAGCTGACAGCGCTTCGCTTGGGGAATAATTAATTGCACAGCTCGAAAACCCGGGGCTGCAAGTTGCCACGTTACGTGTGAGATTAATACAAGCAGCTAATTAAGATGGAGCGGCGTGGAGACGCTGGTGCACCTAGAGCAGGACGAGGGGGCCAGGGGAGTGCTCAGGGGGCGGCGGGGCCAAGGGAGACACCACCGTGGGGCACGAGGCTTAGGAGGCCGTGGGTGAGTTGCCCCAGAAGGCGCCAGGCCATGGCCTCTGCCCCGCAGCACACATTTCTCCTGGCTGTCGAGGACTGCCAGACGCCAACTGAGTGTTCTACACAAATGAGCCCGTTTGTTACCTTGACTCCACGAGGCAGAGCACTGTTCCCATTTTACAGATGAGGAAACTAAGGTCCAAGAAGCTGAGTCGAGCAGTGGAGGTAGCAGGATTGGAATCAGTTCTGCCTGACCTCGAAGCCAGGCCATGAAGCAGGCAGACCTCATAGCAGACAGTCGGAGGGACTGTGGAGGGAGAGGCTGCTCTCTGGTCAGGGCTGGGACCTCCCTCCAAACCGGGCCCTCTCAGATGCAGGCTTCACCCTTGCCCTGCCAGCGGATCTAGGAGCTCTGGTGGCGTAGTGGTTAAAGCATTCGACTGCTAACCAAAAGGTCAGTGGTTCCATGGGAGAAAGATGAGGCAGTCTGCTTCTGTAAAAATTTACAGTCGGAAACACTATGGGGCAGTTCTACTCTGTGCTACAGGGTCACTATGAGTCAGAATCGACTCGATGGCAGTGGGTCGGCTAGTGGGTCTGGGTGACGCGTGTGTGTTGTGCGTGTGATATTCCTGGAGGTGAGGGCTGGGCATCTGATGGACAGCCTGCCCCTGAGTCCATGGGCCTGTGGGGCAGTCCTGGCGGCTGTCGGAGCTGCCCTCCACGACTCCCCACCTCCCCCCATCACCTCTCTCTCTTAATTAACACCGGCTGCAAATGAGCTGGCTTCAGCTCAAAGGTGGCACTGTGCCAAATGGGTTGGCGGTGTGCCTTGCAGGGGTGGGGAGGGGAAGGGGTGCTGACCTGCTACTCTGCAGGCCCCTGTTGGAAGAAGATGCCAACTCTGGCCTGCCCTGCACCCCCAAATCCCTCCACAGGTGGCCCTGCCTGGGCGAGGGGCTTGGGGTGAGCCGGTCTGATGCCCACCCGCCCAGCCACATGGAGGTGCTGAGGAGGGGAGTGGGGCAGAGGAAGGATTTCACCAGGTGGAGCAGGGAAGGGCTGGCCAAGTGGCATTATCTGCCACAGGTGGGAAAGGGCAGGTGTGGCCCAGCCTGGGCTCCAACCTCCAGAGGATCTGGGCCAGGGCCTGCCCCACACTCAGCAGACCTGCGAAGCTGGCCCTCAGTGTTCCCTCCTACCCACCACCACACTCTGCAGTTCCACAGCGGCGACTCGGGGCAAGACAGCTGCCAGGATGGTGTCTCTCCTGGGCTCCCTCCCCAGGAGTCTTGGTGCTCAGGCAAACTGTGTGCCCATAATGTTGTTCCAAGCTCCCCACAGCTGGGCCAAGCTACCTGAAGGGGGGCTGGTGCAGGAGAACAACCAAAAATTGGGCGTTGGTGCCAAGAGATACTGACAGGCAGGTCCACCCCACGGCAACTTGGCACCTCCCTGCCCCTGCCCTTTCTACTGCCTCCTGCCTGGCCTAACCTCAGATGCTGGGCTCAAGGCCCCACTTCTTCCTCTTCCACTGCCCTCCACTTTTTCTCCTCTGAATCACCACTGGATGTTAGCCTGTTCTTTCAGACGGGGAAACCTTGGCTCCTGGAGTGAGATGGGAATGGGGGAAATGATGCTTGAGTCCAAGACACCCCATTGTCAACATCCATCTTCTTAGTTCCTGCCCTCTCCCTTCATCTGTAAAGGTTCCTGACACCCTTTTGCTGAGGGTGTGGGTGATGGGTGAGTGGCCAAGACTAGACTGTGAGTCCAAGCCAGGGCTCATGGCCTTCACTCACGGAATGCAGACTGGCTCTAGGGAGCTGGGCTGCGAGGCCTGCGTTCAGCTGGGGTGGGGGAGACAGGGTGAGCGCTGGGGGTGGGGGTGCCAGGGTGAGCTCTGCGAGGGAGATGCAGGTGTCCTGGTCCTGCTTTCTTGGAGTTGGCCTGTCTGCCCCCACTGGGGTTTGAGGTGGCCCCACTGTGGTGTGAGGTGACCCCACCGTGGTCTGAAGTGACCCCAGTGTTGTCGCACACCCCTGCCTGTGCCAATGAGTCCGAATGTTTCCCTGGCAGGACGGGAGCCACAGAAGTGGGGGATAAGGAAGGGGAAGGTCAGCATTGCCCGACTCTCCCACAGGGTGGCTGGGGACCGAAGGGCAGCCATTACTGCAGCATCCAAACACCACGGGGAGCGAGGCCTAAACAGGGGTGAGGTGGGATGAGGGGCAGAGGCAGGGAGAGGAGGGCGAGAAGGATGAGGGGGAGCACACAGACCCCTCTTTCATTTGCCCTGAGGTGCCCACCCCTCCTCCTCCTACCAAGCAACACCAGGTTAAAGACCGTCTCCTATTTCTGACTCTCCTGCTGGGCAGAGGAGACAAAGCACCTCAGCCCCATGACACTTTTAGGAGCCCACAGAAACGTTATTTCTTTAAAAATCAGGAAAAAAAAAAAAAAAAAGAATGAACTTTTAGGTCAAAGAAAATGTTTTAATATATAATATTAATATATTTGTCTTAATGCCAATAGTCATAAAATATAATTTTTAGTTAATAATTATTATTTTTTTAATGGAGAAAGGAGCCTGGAAGGCAATAGTACCTGGGTTCTGGTAAACTCCAGACCCACACAACCTCGTCTAATCCTTGCCCTGTGCTAGTGGCACTTTTATGAACCCATTTTACAGATGAGGAAACAGAGCTTCACGGAAGGAACTTCTCAAAATGCAAGTCTGAGCGCATTCTATTTTACCTTCAGCTTCCTGATTAAAAGCTCCCCTTAGAGCCCTGGTGGTACATGGGTTAAGCGCTCGCCGAGCAGTTTGAGCCCACCCGCTGCTCAGCACCAGAAAAGACCTGGAGAGCCTCCTGCAATGACAGCCTTGGGAACCCCATGGGGCAATTCCAGTCTTGTCCTCTAGGGGCGCTGTGGGTTGGAATCGACAAGAGACAACAATGGTGCTTTGCTCTGCTCTCTACTTAAAGAACCTGGTCCCTGGCACACTCCAGGCCCCTGGGCCCCCAGTGACTCCTCACCTCACCTCTTTCCTCTTCCTCTCCTTCTGTCCCTCAGCCACACCCCAGGTCCTTAAACCTGCCCTATTCCCCCAGTCCCAGGGTCTTTGCACA